ATATAAGGCTTGAGTGAAGGCTATAAATGTGCCAATAACTCAGTGTTCACTGTACCTGTTAGCTGGGTTTGGAGCCTTCCCCTCACACCCCTCTCCTCTGCTTGATTTCCAGTGACTTTTCTTTCCTCTTTGTTGTGTGCCCATCGGTTAGTTCTAATTTATTAGAGAGTACATGTGGTGTTTGTTTTTCCATTCTTGAGATACTTAGCTCAGAAGAATGGCCTCTAGTTTCTTCAAAATTGCTGCAAAAGGCATTAATTCATAATTTTTTATGGCTGCATAGTACTCCATGGTATACATATACCACATTTTGTTAATCCCCTCAGGAATTGATGGACACTTAGGTTGATTCCACATCTTTACAATTGTGAATTGTGCTGCAATAAGCATTCCCATGCAGGTGTCTTTTTGATAAAATGACTTCTTTTCCTTTGGGTAGATACCCAATAGTTGGAATGCTGGATTCAATGGTAAGTCTACTTTTAGTTCTTTGAGAAATCTCCATAGTGTTTTCTATAGGAGCTGTGCTAATCTGCAGTCCCACCAACAGTGTCTAAGCTCCTTTCTCTCTGTATCTGTGTCAGCAGCCTAGAGGCTTGTCTTTAATTGCCCCAATTCAGATCTAATTCTAGAGCATCTGAAGAAAATAATCAGCAACAATTGTTTAATATGGTAGCTACCTGAGACAGCTGTAGCAAATTGGGGCAAGCTAGAAGTAGACAAAAAACTTAAAGTGAAAAGCCATGGTATGAGTGTCCATAAGGGGCTTTGAAAAGTTCTGACATATTACAGGATATCTAGAAGGCTAAGAAAAAGTTCAAGTGTATACACAGTAATCAACAGGAGACCAAGCCTGTTGTTCACAAATGCTAATCTTGTTCTTAAATCTGGGCTCTGCCAGCTTCGGGAAAAAAAATGACCCAAGACTCTTATTTAGAATGCAGGCCCCATCCTCAGTGATTCCCATCTAGCAGGTCTGGAGTGAAGCCCAGAATCAATCACTCCCCAATGTGATTCTGATGATTAACTAGGTTTAGTCTGTTATGGCACTGCCTGAACTTGACTAGAGAGTCCCATTTGGCAATTTAATGCTCCTTAATTTTACAATCTCTCACATTCCTGCCATTTACAAAGTGCAACCCCATCTGAGTGCCAGTCTTATCCCATAATGCTTTATGCTTTTTCTCTATTATTGATCCTCATGCTGCTGTGTTTTCCTCTCAAAAAATTTAAATATGCCCTCAATCCTTATTTGGGGAAAAAAAAAATCTCCCTGTGCCCGCACCTCCAAAGAACACACCAGGTGACCTGATCTGAATTCTCACTTTCTCCATAAGAAAACCACTTCCTCTGTAGCTGTCCCAAGAGATGGCATCATTTTCCAAACACAAATCCTACAATTAAGGGAGTCATTCTTCAAAATCGCCAATGTTGCTTTGACACAATCATTTATCTTTCCATGTGTAAAAATGTCTTGGTTCATGACATCCTACTTACCACCCTCTGTCACCCATCCAAGTCTACTTTCCATATACGTTGAAGACTTCAGTCTTGGATTTCAAAATCTTCTCTACTCCCAAATCTTGTGTAAATTATACATCCACGTGAAAGGCTCAGCCAATACATTAGTTTTAAAATACATTGATGCTTCATCCTTAGTAAATTTCATTTCCATACCACCTCAAATACCTTATGGTTATAACAATGTCTAGAACTATTGTCTTAGAAATTATAGAATTCAATGTTTTTCCATTGGATCACAACTTTCCTTTAAATGTTCAACTTTCTGATATTCTCACACCCACTACAATTGCTTTTATACTACCATAGTGATTTTCCAGAGCTCTTTTAAGTACTTACTACAACCTGGCGTTTGTCTTCTGAATATTTATAATGGCCCATCTATCTTGGCCTTTGTACTAGTGTACATCATGGGTAATTGGGGAAATGGCTTTTGTTCCCAGGCCAGAGATGGAGAGAAAATTTCATGTCTGAAATGAGCACAGAGTCTTGTTACAAGCCATCTCAACTCCTGAGTACCCTAAGCATGTTCCTGTGTAAATTTGTAATATAAACATAATTTATATGGGAACAACCAGTTCCTAACTTTCCTACTGTTATGAAAGTGCAGTCAATAGCTGATTTACTTGCTTTTATCTCCTTTAAGGAGTATTATCCAGATTGCCCAATGAATAGCACTAGGCAGGGATCGTTTTGTTTGGCAGACCCAGATTTCTGTAGAAACCATAAAATTTAGATATATAAAGATACTGCTAGGGTGATCGTGGTCAGGAACTAGATGTCTCATTAAAAACAAGCTGGCTGTGCTCTGGACCCAGGGAGACCATGCAGGGTAACCGAAGTGGGAGTATTCAAGGAGATTTTAACAGCAAAGCAGTCAGTAGGTGAGGCTGTATTGCCTGAAGTTAGCCATATATTCTACATGGATGTACCGCATTCCTTCTAGTAAGTCTAATACATGTTAATGTGTTTTAGTAGTTCAATTATTTACTTCCAGGCATGGGGCAGAAGGCTTAAAATATGTTTCCCTAAAATTCTCCATTTCAACTTATCACATAGTGATTTCTTACCTGATACATACTGAGCACTGATAATGCAAAAATGAAAGAGATCTTTATGTGTTGCAGTTTTAGGAGGAGCTGTCCCCAGCTCCTATAAAACCCTACCTTGGAGTAGGTGACAAGAAAACACATCTATAAGTTTTCAACAAAGACCCAAGAACACATACTGGGGAAAAGACTTTGTCTTCAACAAACGGTGCTGGGAAAACTAGAGATCCACATGCAAAAGAATGAAACTAGGCCGCTCTCTCTCATCATATATAAAAATCAATTCAAAATGAATTAAAGACTTACATGTAAGACTCTAAACTATAACATTACCAAGATGAAACTTAGGGGAAATGCTTCATGACATTTGTCTGGGCAAGGATTTTTTGGACGAGAACTCAAAGCACAGGCAACAAAGTAAAAATAGACAAATAGGATTACATCACACTAAAAAGCTTCTGTACCACAAAGGAAACAATCAACAGGGTGAAGGGACTACCTACAGAATAGGAGAAAATATTTTCAAACTGCATCTGACAAAGGGTGAATATCCAGAATATATAAGAAACTCAAAACAACTTAATAGCAAGCAAATAAATAATCCAATTAAAAATTAGCAAAAGACCTGAATAGACATTTCTCAGAAAAAAGATACAAATGGCCAATAGGTGGTATATGAAAAACTTCTCGATGATATCATTAATTATCAGCGAAATATAAACCAAAACCACAGTGAGATATCATTTCCTATGTGTCAGAGTGATCAAAAAGGCAAAGACAACATGCTAATTTGGAAGTGGAGAAATGGGAACCTTTATACACTGTTAGCAGAAATGTAAATTAGTAGAGCCCTTATGGAAAACATTATGGTGCTTCCTTAAAAATTGCTGGACCATTTGATGGAGCAATCCTAAGTATTTTATGCAAAGGAAATGAAATCAGTATGTCAAAGAGATACTTGCACTGCCATGCTTATTGCAGCACCATTCACAATAGCCAATACATGGCATCAACCTAAGTGTCCATCGACAGGTGAATGGATGAAGAAAATGTGGTAAATGTACACAATGGAGTATCATCTAGCCATAAAAACTAATAAAATCATATCATTTGCAATAACACGTATGAACCTGAAGGACATTATGTTAGGTGAAATAACCCAGACACAGAAAGGCAAATACCACTTGATCTCACTCATTTGTAGAATTTTAAAAAGCTGATCTTACATAGAAGTAGAGTGTGGAATAGTGGTTACCAGAGACTGGTGAGAACAGTAGGATGTATGTGTAGAAATTGGTCAATGGGCACAAAATTACAGATGAATAGGAGGAATAAGTTCTGATGCTAGTGCATAGTAAGGTGACTATAGTTAATAATATTGTATTTTTTGTTTCAAAATGACCAGAAGAGAGGATTTTGAATGCTCTCACCTCAAAAAAAGTGAGAAATTTTTAAGGTTATGGATAAACTAATTACCATGATTTCATCATTATACAATGTATACATGCACATGTACTGAAACATCACACTGTACCTCATAAATATATATAACCATTATGTGTCTCAATTAAAAATAAAATAAAACTTTTTAAAAATCCAAATGCAATATCAAGATTCTAGGGTCTCTTTGAGGTAGATCAACATATCTCTTCTGGTCAGGAAATATTGTTTACCACCTCTACTATACCTTTGTACCAAATTAGAACTTTGAACCCTTCTTTACAAAACAGCTACCATTATTCTGCTATAAAATACCATAATATAATAAAATTTTTAAAGGGAAAAAAGCCCTGAGATATAAACATAAATATGCCTGATTCTTGTTTGATTATCAGATTAAATTAGATACTTTATACTAATTAATTTATAATTTTAATATTGAATTTTTCTATTTGGAACAATGTAAATGAGGAATTGGACATTATTCAGTTTATGTCATCAAGGGGCCAATATGAATTACTTTTTAGATCTCATATATGTGGTTTATCAATGTATTTGTTTCAGTCAAAATAGAAAATAGCTTATAACCAATATCTCTCTCCATTTTGTGTCTTTCAGAGAAATAATCAAACTGATTCTCCAGGAAGACAATTTCAAGTCTATAGAGACCAGTTTTCTCCCAGTCTCCTAGAAGGCATGGCATTCTCTTGTTAAGATTTAACTAGCCAGTGTAAACATTGCTACAAGGTTTTAAGTCTGAGACTAAATTATCCCATTCAGTTCTTTACAGCATCACAGTCAGTGAAAAACAGCCTATCTACATTCTAGTACATATCCAGTCACTGTTATACAATGTAGTGGGACAATGAAAAATATTCCAAGCTAAAACATCAGGCAAAAATAAAGAGCAAATCAAAGTCATTACAATGTTTAAATCACACTGAATTTATTAGACACAATAAAGATAAAAATGAGAGAAAAAGTTCTTACCATTTTCAGGCAAGCAGCCTGAACTGAAAGATATATCATCAATAGCAATAACTTCATCTTGTGCATGAGTTGAAATCACTTGACCTTGAAAAATAACCTGCACGAGAAAAAAAACAAAACAAAATAAAATAAAATCACAAAGCAAGGAACACCATTGTCTCATAGTCTTATAGAAGAGAGCCTATAGATAGGAAACATGCCACTCCCTAAAAATACCTGAATAACCATTCCAATTCCAAGTGGAAAGAGATGGAAGCAAACACTTCCAAGGTCAAGAAAATGTACAGTAATTACTGTACCTCAAATGTCTGGAATCAGGCCCAGGTTTCTGAAATGAAGCAATATTCACCTGGTTTTGTGATACAACTATCTTCTGTGTTTAGTTCCTGTATGTTCACACAATTCAGCATTTACCAGCTTTTGGACCCACGCTCCATCTTTATCTCTGGCTCTTGTCATTTTGCAACTGTGCCCCATTTTCACCTCTGCTTCTCTAAGTTTTATTCACAGTCTTGCCATGGACGTTGCCCTGTGAAATCGTCTTGAACATTATCTGTCATTATCTGAACATAGCTTGGGGCATGGACTGGAAATTGTTGTTCAGTGACTTCTTGATAAAATGCCCAAATATTACGTGGTGACGTGGAGCCATCCCTGGTCTGCACTAAGAAGAAATGCTCTGGTATGACTAATCCGGCAAACTTAGAAAGAAATCACTCTCCAATTTCCTAATGACTTAAATCAGTAGAAAATTGGCATGTTGGTGAAGAGTATTATCTCCCCCTCACTAGTGAATACCAATGATGTCTGAGGCTTCATTCACAGACGTGATAAACACGTGTGCATTGTTCAGCCTTGTTTAAACACTTCGTTATTTCAAAAGGTCAGCCTGCTTTCTGGTTAACAATTGGTCTGGATGCAGTAACCATAACAGATCATTTTTCTGTGCTGCATTCTCTTTTGCTCCAAACCAGATGCTATCTACCCTTCTATTAAGAATCCAGTGAGAAACATACACAACCTACAGAGAAACTCACCAATAGGTAGCCCTAAGAAAGTCATGTTTTCTTCACACAAAACAGATAGCCTGTGACTACTTAAATATAGAACCATGTTGGAAAGGCCCATCAAAGATTGTTGTATAGGGATGGTTTTATATGGAGGAAGTATAGCATAGTGATTTAAAGTGAGTGTATGTATATGTGTGTGTGTGTGTGTGTGTGTGTGTGTGTGTGTGTGTGCGTGTGTATAAAACCAACTCCTGGGGTTTAGGATCCTAGCTATACCACTTAATAGCAACAGGACCTTGGAGAACTGACCTAACATCTCTGTAGCTCAGTTTCCTTTTTTGTAAAATGGTAATGATAAAAATAATAACCTATGTGAAAGAATTTACACAAGGAAAAACAAATTATTACATGTTAAAACAGCACCTGGTATATAGGTAGCATTAAATAAATGTTAGCTACTATTATTGTGACATAGATTTATTAAAATAGGCTATTTTATAGTGTGTTGTTCATAGATGAAAATCCATTTTCTACAAATTAACATTTTATTCTTTTTAAAAGTTTTCTCCACATAGAGACATTCCCTAGTTCTTACCAGGAGTTAAGAATATGCCTGTAGTCACCATATTTAAAAAGAGAAGTAGAAGTAAGTAGAGTAGAAATAAGAAATAATTTAAAAACAGAAGTAGAAGGAAAAATAATCACCAGACCCTTCTTTTATTTCCTTATACACCCCCTACCCCACTCCCCAAAAGACTAAAACATCCCTATTCAGCACTTCAGCTCACACCCAGGCTTATAAATAACAAATTTACATCATACATGTTAATCTCCGTCCTGAGCTCTCCTCCTATATTTCTACAGCCTGCTGGACATTTTTCACTGAGATGACACAAGTCTCTTCTAATTCACATCGTGCTGTTTTTTTCTTCTCAATTGGAGTTCTGCCCTCACTCTCATTTTCTGACAATGGTGCCAAATGAATGCTACTTTCTGATGTTCAAAATTCCAAAATGACCTTTAAAATCACTTTCTCCTCCAGTCTCCCATCCCATCAGACAAGATCTATTAAGCTCTATTTTCCTTCCATTCCTATTTCCACTCCCATATCCTTATGCCTGATCTATGGAAGCAGCTTTTAAATTACCTTTGTCTTGCCTTGACCCACTCCTTATTGGAGTCTGCAATAGATACTATACATTTACTTGATTTCATTAAATTACGTGTTCACTTGGCAAAGTTATTGTGAAAATCGGCTGCCATTTGAGCCCACTGGTCCAGCCAGAGGAATAGTTTGTTCATAAGGAAATAACTATTTTTCTAAGTGTAGGGGAATTTACTAATGGGTCTGTGTGGCAACAGAACACAAGGCCCATCAGGCATAACTAAATAGTCTAGCTAGATAGATTTAAACAAGAAAGATTTTCCAGGGATTTTGATTAGGGTCGAGAGAATTAGCCAGGGGCTGTGTTGGCATATGGTAGTTGCATTTTTAAGAAAAGTTGTATCTAACATTCTTTGTTTTCCCCTAGACTTTGGCAAAAGTTTTTTCCGAACATCCACCTTATTATTTTAATGATGTTGGGGAAAAATGAAAAAAAAAAAAGGAAGAAAAGTGGAGAAAAATAGCAAAATAAAAGCAGATTATAAGAGAGAGAATGGAGTTTGGAGTTTGGCAACATCACAGAAGTCAGATACAGCCTGCACTGACTCAATAGCAAACATGAGACAAATTCCTTTCACCCCCAAACATTTTAAGAGTAGATGACCTCTGAATGGAGCTAATGGATCAACACTCAAGCCACCTGATTTAAACGTTAGAGGAAACTATGATGGTAGGTGGAGAAGGGACATAAAACTACCTGGATTACTTTACTATAACCATTAGAAACTCTATGGTTTTATGTCCTGTATTAGAGTTTTCTCAACTAGTAGTATACATTCAATCTATTTCCCAATCAAACAGCTAAAACACAAAAAGATGACACAGTATTATTTTCCCATCATGTGTGAATTAAAAGGTAAAAATGCCCCAGATTATGATTTTGAAGAGTAAGGGTAGAATTTTTAAAATTCAGAAAACAATTTATATATTTTTAATGAATACCTCATCTTTCGTCCATATTAATAAAGTCTATTCTTTCTGAATTGGAGGCTGCTGAGAGCTTGCCAGCGTTTCTCAATGAAACATCAAAGAAATGACAAGTAGATGATAGCATATTAAAAATGCTTCAGTATCTTTTTATAATTCAGGCAGGGAATGCTCATTTAGGCTCACTTAGTTTAACAATCCAAACATTCAACTTGAAAACTACAGTCAGTGATATATTTCATAATATATAGTGTTCATTACCTCCTACTCATAAAACCAATACATGAGCTCCCTTCAAGAACAACAAAAAAGTGGAGTGGTGGGAGAAGTTTCGACTTGAACTGGGCACCAAATTTCTACTCTATGGCTACCTTGTTTTATTCTTTCCCTCCTTGAACATTTTAGGACAATAATGAAATTAATTGCTTATGTCTGCGATTTTGAAAGATGTGATTGCAATTAATCAGCAGCATGCAATGTCCAACATTGTTGTTTCACCCAACAAAGCAAACAAAAGATTATGCAATGAGTCATACACAACAGATTTGACCAAATCTGGAGGTTGTTTCTTTTAAATTTCATGTATTCTAAAATCCTATAATGCTTTAATATGATAAAAAAAAATACTATTATGGCCCAGTGACTAAATGATTAAGATCTGAAATAAAACTACCCTAGATTCTAAGCTGGTATGGGATCTAGTAGGTTATTTAGCTCTCTAAAGATTGTAATTTTCAGTGAACAATGGGATAAATCATCTTTCAACCTCAGGGGATTTTTGTGAAGGGTCAATAAGATTATGCACACAAAGAACTAAACACAGTGCCTCGCACCTAATAAGTGCTTGATAAATGCCAGCTGTCATTTTTCCTTAAACATCTTCAGTAACTTTTTGAAATGCTTCCACCTTTGTTGACTAAATGGATGAACACCATTCCTTGTCTATGTAACTGTATTCCCTCAGAAATTAACATGCTTCAATTTTATTAAAGGATGGCCCTAGTAATTTACAGATAGAGGTGATAAGCCTTTCTCAAAAGCCCATTCTAAATAGGCTCCAGCAGGGACTGAAATCTCCTATTTGGATATTTCTAAAGGAAGCATGCATGGCTTTTATTTAAACTATCAGAAGTCAGCACAAAGGGGAAATTGCAGAAAACAGAATAATTCTCAGAGGTTTGTAAGTTGATGAGGCAGCAGATATTGTCTGGAGATGCTGATTATGAAATTCTCTCAAATCAGCCTCTCACAAAAGCTTTTCAGGAACAAGATACTAGATGGTGGCAGGCCATGTTACAAGCACAGCACTTCTCTGTGGCCACCAAACAAAAGCAAATGAACATCTGCTCACTTGCTGACAGGATAGAACTGAAACATACCTGCAATCTTAAAAGATTGGTGGAGCCAAAGGATCCTAAGAGAGCGTATGGTCTCCTAACTTTCGCAAAACCTTTAAGGGAGAAGCACTGTTTTCATATCAGCGGGAAAGTATTTTGGGAAACAAATTAATCTGCTTTAGTTAAAGCCACTACTACATTTAAAGCACTCAAGTGAATAACCTTGCTGCCTCAGCTATAACTGAATCACCTTGGAGATGACATATTCTAGAATTTTAAGTTTTATATTTATGTACCGTACATGTTTAATTAGCAGACCTCACAATGCGCCATTTGGGAATGGGCAGCTGAGGAAAACGAGAGTTATTTTGAAAGGTTTGACCTACAAGATCCAGCTTTGCCCAACACCCAAACCTCTGTTATGCTACCAATAAAGATCTTGACCTGAATATAAGGACAGTTAGATATAAGAGGGCACAAAGCTTAACAAAGATAGTTTAAGAGCATTTTATCAGCAGCTCTCTTTCAAAGTTAAAAGAGCTATATAAATAATGGTAGAGTATACACATAGACAATATTCCCATCTCAGTCATTAAGTCGCTATAAGCATGCAGAGAAGGAACAGCAGCAAGTATATCCTTCGGTGTCTACTTGACATGACTCAGTCCCCACAAAAGCAATCTTGGCTCTGTTTTGTTGCTTTTGCTGCTGTTGAGAAAAGATAAGTAGACACAGGAGATTAAGAAGTATAAGGAATAAACTAGAGACTTCTCCAGCAGTTAATAACACTTGAACATCCACAGCAAATTAAATGTATTAATGGTCCTGGGGGTAGAGGGGTACTCATTTTGCACACCACACCTCTTGAAAGCCGCAGACATCTTCAGGGCCCAGGAACACAAAAACACATAAGTATCTCCTCTCCACACCTACCAGACCTCTTCTCTTAACATGGTGTAGGACCACAGTCCCCAAACACCAGGCCATAGACAGGTGGTACCAATCCGGTCTTGGTCTGTTAGGAACTGGACCACACAGCAAGAGGCAAGCAAGCTGAAGCTTCATCTGTATTTACAGCTGCTCCCTGTCTCTCGAATCACCCTGTAAGCTCTGCCTCCTGTCAGATCAGCAGCAACATTAGATTCACATACAAGCGTGAACCCTACTGTAAACTGCGCATCTGAGTGATCTAGGTTATGTGCTCCTTATGAGAATCTAATGCCTGATGATCTGAGGTGGAGCTGAGGCGGTGATGCTAGTGCTGGGGAGGGGCTGCAAATACAGATTATCATTAGCAGAGAGGTCTGACTGCACAATAAACGTAATGTGCTTGAATCATCCGGAAACCACCGACCATCCCCTGGTCTGTGGAAAAACTGTCTTCTATGAAACTGGTCCCTGGTGCCAAAAAGGGTGGGGACCACTGGTATAGGGAAACTTTTCTGCATCATGCCTAGTACAGCCCAATGCCTCTTGTTTAAGTAAATGAATCAATCATTTGTAGAAACATTTAAGTGCCTAATGGCTTAAGATGGCATTCCACCCTCATCCTCCACAACACACACTTGATATTTGACTTCAACAAAGTCTCAAACTACCAAATTGTGTTTCTAACTAAAGAGTTATCTCATGTAGGTGTCATTAAACCATCTACTAAGGGCTTTTTGAAACCTTTTTTGATTCCCTGTTAAGTTTACCAAAGCCTGACAATTCCAAATCATAGTGATTTTATAATCGATCATATAAGAAAATGTCATTCTTTTATCTAATAATTCAATCTTTAAATGAAAATTCTATTCTTTTCCTCTTAATCACTCAAACTAAGTGAAAGTAAAATTCAATCCAATTTGATCTTTATATTTAAGCAAGTGCTAAATCCACCATATATCGGATTATTTGATTTATATCAAATTTATAAAATTGATTATTATATCATTTTTTATTTTGAAATTATTTTATTTTATTTTTTATTTCAGCATATTATGGGGGTACAAATATTAAGGTTACATATATTGCCCATGTCCCCCCTCCCCCCTCGAGTCAGTGCTTCAAGCGTGACCATCCCCTAAATGCTGCACATCTCACTCATTATATTATATCATTTTAATAATAGATGATGAAAGAACCCTATTTGGACTAAATTGGCTCACTAACTAGGTTTAGAAAGTAAATTTATTAGGAATAAAATGCTTTGAGATCTCATTTTTAACCGTAAAAATTTGCTTGGCTGTCTCAAATGTTAAAATATGCAATACTTCTCCAAGAACTCTTGTAATAATCATTAGGTTATAATTTTTACCATGCATAGGTTTTATTAGGCTGCATAAATAAGTGTGTCTTTTATAGGCTTGCACTGGCTTTAATTCTCAAAAATATCTTAGAAAATAAGGGCTGTATTGAATTAAGTTTATCCATGAAATGCATATGACAATTATAATACTTTGATAGCATTTGGAATTAGTATTTAAATCAAACAGTCTCTTTTCTCATTATCAAACATTACCCTCTTCTCTCAAAAGCATGAGAAAAGTCTAGAAGGAAAATGATTCTTGGGAAGAAGAAATGAAAAGAAAGAGAAGGTTGGGATAGTAAGAGAGGGAAGAAAATGGAACGGGGTTCAAGAAATTAGGAGAGAATTAGAAGGTTATATTTTACTGATATAGCAATATATTTCAAAATATATCAATTTTAGTTTTGATATATAAATTCAAAACCTTGTTGCAAAAGTGTCTTTTAGAGTGATGGCCATCCCAATTTGGCTAACACTGTCTGCTTTCAGCATTTAAAAGTCCTGGAAAATCCCTCAGTCCCTGGAAAACTGGGACAGTCACCTTACTTTTAATTCATCTGGTATTAACGATCTTATTTTTCCTTCAAAGACATACTTAGAGAATAGAACACACATACCTGAAATCTCTGTGAGCTCTGGATTTTGATGACATTTCTCTCCCACTGATTTCGGAGACTGACTGTGTTTTGCCATAAATGCTGAATGGGGCCACCACATGCAGTTTGAAGTCCTACCATTAATTTGCTACTCATTTGGCTAAAGAAGGAATAAAATGTAACCTGTGAAAAAATAATTAGTTCCCAAACAATTATAAAAAAGAATGTCCTCAAATGTGACAAAGTATTTAAAATGCTGTGGGCTTTCCATACCTGACAAGCACGTTGGTCATTAGTTGGAAGGAAAACTCGACTTTCTAAATTTGAGGAAATAGAATCCACTTTGGAAACCAGTGAGAGGAAGTGGGCTGTCAGAAACAAGAGTTAGCACGTTAGATTCAGAGTGATCACTGGCAAACTTATTTAGGACATCAAGCTGACATCCCCTTTAGGTCAATATATTTTTGTTTAAAGAATAAAAATTTAACCATGCCAGTTGCTTTTGCAAACCAATGAACTGAATATTTTTACTTTTTTATATTACCTATAAATATAAATATTTTTATTTTTTTATATTGCCTATTTATTATACTCCCTATAACATTATTATAAACTACAGCCCACACCCCAATTTATCATATTTAACGTAGAAAGTTGCATTCCTGCAAAGATGGTATCCAAAGAAAACATTATACTACCAAGACTGTCTACCAAAATAAGCAATTCAGTGAAGGCCAGAAGACATCATTGTTTGCTGTGCCTTTGTTCAGAAAGATTTGGACCAAATAGTCCCAGCTTTTCCTAAGATTATGAGAAACAACATTGAGCCCTGATGCTATCTTGTACAATGTAGTCCAGACATTCCAGAGGACTGTTACTGTTTAGATGCCCTTAAAATAAACGTTGAGCATCCTGGGCCTTCAGAGAGTTCATGCAATGCTTTATGAGGATTCTAGCATATAATCTGAGAACAACTGTTTTCTGCTACTCTATTTGGTGTGCTGCTATTTGTCAAAAGGAATGAGAAAAATGTTGATGATTATGATGACATATTTACCCCAGTGATTCAGTGGTACTTTAAAGCTAAATTGGAAATCAAATCTAATTGTCACATATTGAGAGAATCAATAGTAAAATTATGAAACCTAAGAAATCTCTTCTTCCCTACTCCTATTCCAAATTTGTACCCTAATTAAGCAGAAAACAGTGTCATCAATGATTGCTTATAAATAAGTCAGAGGCATAACTGAAATCACTGTGATAATAATTATTTGAAGAATAAACTCTCTGGAATTATTATATAAACATAATTTAGATGAAGAGTTGGTATCACAGTGATACAAGTGGACTGTCATTAGTTTGCTCTTATAGCAGGTAAACAAATGTTAAGCAAGTGAATAATCAAATAAGTATAATGAGCCATATGGCTATATTGTTTTAGGTTTAAATAATATTATTAGCAATACAAATGATAATTGCTTTCAATAGGCCCTAAATTATTGTTTATAAATATTCAAATACTAAGGACATCCATGAGATATACAGGAAAAATTATTTTCATTTGTCAAGGAAATTATTTAAATCAATCATATTTATTTTTAAAAGCTTGTTCTTAAAATCAGATTTGACACATTAATTTGTTAAATAATAAAGTAGCATTTGCAATGATATTTTTGAAATCATACGTGAATAAATTATTTAAATATTTAAGCAGAGTATTTTATAAAACTATGGCATTTGATATGTGTTACGGCACTGTAAATTATTCTGTATTTCATCAAATATTAAATAAAGGTTAATCTTCATGCTAGAGTAGAAAGCAAAGTTTTAAATTTGGAAATAGCCTGAGATCCTTTGACATTTTTTCTAGTAATAAACTTATTTCCTTTCATGGCGATAAAAAAATAAAAATGTGTTAAAAATACACCCAACAGCAATATCTATTTTCTACTTTTAATTCCAACGTAGTGACAATAGCAAAGATTTTTTTTAAATACACACTTCATTTTAGCCTGCTCTTTATAGTAAGAGTATAGAATTTCTTTAATTCATAGATGGTGATGTTCTGTAGAGAGAAATATCACTTTATAGAAGGTTTTCTTGCTTTCCAGAGGACATTAGTCATCATGGCTATTTATGAATATAGGAGAAAGGCAAATCTTTGGCAGGATAACTCTTTCCCATATGCCCATTCCCTCATTTAACACTCTCTCCTGCTAAAGCCCTCAACAACAAGAAGAGGCTATATGAAGCTCTTGGATGACAAAATATGTATCCAGTGTTCTGCTCTTGAAGCAGCTTAATAATATACATATCACACACAAACATAATCATTGCCATCATCATCACATCTCTTATTAATCTCCATATCATACTCATTTCAGTTTTTTTATATGATTCATAAATTGCCATTTTTGTGCCTGCATCCATAAAGGCAAATGCATAACACATCTTTAAAATAATCTTGTGATAAAGTGTTACTTATTAAAATGACAAAATAAAAACACAAACAGCACAATTTCATGTATAATCTTAAATGTTTATCTTAGAGGGCTATTAAAAATACTTTTTCTCAGTAACTGGGTAAGTATTGGAGTGAAATCTCAAGTTTGATGACAAAAAGGAGGCACATAAAATATGAAAGCAACAAAAACCATGAATCAAGTTTTCAGAGCTAAATCCTATGACTTCAGCAGTGAATTCCATCAACCTTGATCGTCAGGAAAGATAGGGTAGAATGTTCAGTCTCACTTTCCTCAACCATTGATAGGCAGCCCTGCACTTCCTCCATTTCGCAAGTGTTGAGTGATTAATGGCACTGAGTGTGAACAGGAGAAACATAAATCCTACTGCACGCTACAGAGCAACCAATTTGCTCAGAAGAACACCAAAAAATGGAGCATTTTGACTGTGAGATAATATCAGTTTTCAAGAACATTTCCAAAAAAAACCCCAAAATCAGGCTGTGGAAATGGATCACCATAACAAAATCCAAGGTCTGACACAAATGTGAAAATGTCAAAACTCATGGAAAGAGAACAGTATGCTCATCCCTGACAGAAATACGGCTCAGTTCAGATAAGAGAAAGGAAATAATAGTCTTAGATACAAACTCCTTCAAGTTGGTAATGTCTATTTTTTAAATTCTGATAACTTGGAATCATAAGTTTTAACTCATATCCATTCATTAAACTAACAAACTCAACAGAACCAGATAATATCTGCTAAAGCTGTATCTCTTAAAGAATACCCTCAAATAGTAATCCCTTATCATTGCTGGTAACTTGTAGATAAACCTGCTGTATTAACTTATGTCTGACTGCAGTGACAAAGGGCTATGTCAGTCACTTTAGGAGATCACAGAGCATGCAATAAACCATGAGGGTGATGTTAATGAAAGTGCCGGAGTAAAGATCTCTGAATATTTTTGCCTCCATAAAATAAATTTAAAAACTGGCAGGAATGTCAAATTCAATGTTTCTGGAACTCTAGAAATTAGTCAAATGTTTGCAGCAACCTGGAGAGCTTTTACTCAAGAAATGACTAAAGCTCAGTAAAAACTGAGTTTTATGGTGTCTTAACTTGCCCTGGTCCCACTGTACATGCTCCAGCTCCACAGTAACTTTGAAAAGTAGCAGCCTGCATCTTTAGTACACCCTGTCAGCCACCAGAATAAGTTGGATGGGACTAGAGCTTTTTCAAAGCCTCTTTCTCAAACAATTCTTATTATTTGACCTGTCTAGTGGTTCCCTCAAAGACCTCAATGAAATGGCCATCTGAAATTAACCATATTAATAGTTTGCTTAGTACCAAAAGCTCTCTCAAGAGAAGGGGTTTGTTGAAAACAACTAATGGCAAGTGTTTTAACTTCACAGTTTCCTGAGGTAGTGTGAAAATACCATAAAATGAGTAGTTTATAAATAATAGAAATTTATTTCTCACAGTTTTGTAGACTGGGAAGTCCAAGGTCAAGGCCCTGGCAGTTGGGGAAAACAATAGACTAACCATAAATCTCCTGGGACTGAGATGTTGATAGGGGCTTTGAAAAACCACGATATATTTCTGCAAATCTATAAGGACACATGTACACGGAGAGCTGTGCACATGCTCTGAAAAAGCCTAAAAATTGCTTGCTTAAGCTCTCACTTCTGGTTGATTTTGAGGCTTTATGAAAGCAGGAAATGAAAACTAAAGCAGAGTCATCAGGTGCCTGGATAAGTATTGAAGCTGCACCCCACTGTGCACACAGAGTCTCTCAGCAAACACTGTAAGATTTATTGGTCCAAGGCTACTATGGTCTGAATATTTGTGTCACCTTTAAAATTCATATGTGGAAACCTAATCACCAATATGATAGCATTAGGAGACAAGACTTTTGGAAGGTGACTAAATCACCTTATGAATGGGATTAGTGTCCTCATAAAAGAGGGCCCAGAGACTGGCTTTGTTTCTTCACTCATGTGAGAACATAGTGAGAAGGTGCTGTTCTCACTATGAACCAGGAAGAGGACCCAACTAGACACCAAATCTGCCAGTGACTTGACTTTGGACTTCTCAGTCTACAAAACTGTGAGAAATACATTTCTGTTGTTTAAAAGCTACTCATTTTACGGTATTCTGTTCTAATAGCTCAAACTGACTAAGACACTCTCTTTCAAATCACTAGATGATCACTAAGCTGACCAAATAGAGAATCCAGTGGATACATATGTGGAGAATAAAGTTCTTAGAGAATTAGTTAAGAAAAGTCACGGCCGGGCGTGGTGGCTCACGCCTGTAATCCTAGCACTTTGGGAGGCCGAGGCGGGCAGATTGCTCAAGGTCAGGAGTTCGAAACCAGCCTGAGCGAGACCCCGTCTCTACCAAAAATAGAAATAAATTAATTGACCAACTAAAAATATATATACAAAAAATTAGCCGGCATGGTGGCGCATGCCTGTAGTCCCAGCTACTCGGGAGGCTGAGGCAGTAGGATCGCTGAGCCCCGGAGATTGAGGTTGCTGTGAGCCAGGCTGACGCCACGGCACTCACTCTAGCCTGGGCAACAAAGTGAGACTCTGTCTCAAAAAAAAAAAAAAAAAAAAAGAAAAGTCACAAACTTAAAAATAAACAAAACAACTATAACAAACAGCAGTAACAGCAAACATGGGGGAGGTCTATGGGGGTGAGCATCGGATTTCCAGAGGTCTCAGTATTATTTTACCCAGGTTTGAAACAAAATGTGAAAAATACAAAGAAACAAGAACATGTGACTCATACAGAAGGAAAAAAATCAATCAACAAAAAGTGTCTCTGAGGGATCCCAAATTTATTAGACTCTGAATCAGCTATATCATATATTTTCAAAAACCTTAAAAAAATGTATAAA